GGAGCAGCCGTATCAAGGTCATAGCCGCCGCCACCACTGGCTGAAAGGACTGGCGGGTCGGAAAGATCAAAGAACTGCTGTCTGCCGTCAGTCCCTGGAGGTGGAGCACCAGTTTGCTGTTGCTGTTGATGCAACTCCACCTCCTGCCTAGTTACCGTTCGACCGCGCGAATGGCGCCCTCGAAACCTAGAGCAAAAAGCACGTAATAATAAGAAAAATAGTAATAAACAACGACTACTCGCTTAGCGCGAGTAGTATAAGTAACCATCTGTCCATTTTGTTAGTTAGTGGCTGGTGGATGGGTGTTTGGTGCATGTTCATTTTGCTCGGATACACTGTCGTCGAAACCCCACGGTGATTCGGTCTAAAGATACGGAACGGGGGTGAGTGGAAGGGAACTTGGGCCAGATTAAATGTTAGGCCTTCATCTATGCGTGCCGCGGAACGACTGGCCGAGGTAGATTACACGCCCAACTAAGGGTAATCGTTATCTGGAGGGTTCCTTGCCTGCCTGTCAGTACAGGAATCGCCGCAGTTGACCGAATCTCTACGGCTGAAAGCCAGACCAATCACCCTCCTACTACAGTCAAACCACAAGGCACAGGCACTAGACTGTGATCAGTGCTGAGGTAGAATGTGATGACCAACTAGAACAAGTGATTATAGTTCAACTATGAAGACTACCCGATGACTATTTTTTGTAACTACCTGACACATGCAAAGAAGCAGTATTGACACCAGTGAACTCCATAGTGCAGTAAATTTCTCGTAATCGACAACCCAGTAAGAGGAATCGGAGGAAATTTAAATTGAGCTTAGAGGCGGCGACAACCAGAAGCAAATTTCAATGCAGATTCGGAAAATACGAATCCAGCCCCTGACCAGGTTCGGTGGGATCTAGAACTGATTCCTAGTGACAATCAGGTGGCAAAAACAGGAATTTACCTAAAATAACAACAGCAGAAAATGGGGCTCGGAAGGCCAGATCTCTAAAACAGCAATCCGACAAATTAACTGCCCGGGGATGAGAGATCGAAGGGGAACAAGCGTCAGCCTACCTATTAACTTCACGTCGAGTGTTCATGCGTTTCCAGACGTAGTAGAACTCAACACAAGCCTTCACAGACTTGTCCATTCCGCAGGCTTGTAACTCCTTGCTCACGCGGTGAAAATCCTTCTCGTGGCGTCTGAGCGCGTATTGAAAACGACCAATCTCCTCAGTGCACCAGGGTGTGGTTTCTAGCCAAAGGGAAGCATAAACAGACAGGTATTTCAGAAAAAGGTAATTCTAGCTTAAAACGGGGGAGCATTCCTCATATGGCCGGCTCCAAGGGGATTCAATAACAAACAACTACTATAAACGTCTCAGTAGATCGAATTACCACCTAACCAAACACTACCCTGATTTCGATAAATCCTCATCGGGCCATAACATTTATGTGGGAAGGAATTCAAAAGTAAATATGCGGTCAATTAGGTTCGCCATTACGTGTAAATTTGTCATGGGAATGGGGGAGACGGGTTAGCGGTCGAAAATAGGCGACCAGTTACGTGGCAGTGACAGTTTTTTGGAACCGGACCGGAGAGGGGAAGAGAAAGCGCGGGTTAATTCAGGCAGTTAAGTGGCCGTTGGCCATAATTATATTAACCAATAAGAGTTGTTCTGATAATTGTCTTGGCCTATAGGCTTTCTTTTCAGACTTTATTGTCCTTTCTGTAACATTTTCATATGTATTTTTTGTAGTTAAGTAAAATAAGTACAAATGGCTTTAATTTCTTTCCTATTGTGCGGTTATCACTCATCTATACGGCCCCTCACGTACCCTACCCTTTTACTTTCCTTTAACGATGAATCCCGTAAGACACTTAGGTGTGAGGACTTTTGCCATTGGCGGCCATAAAAAGCCAAATTAAGCAACGGCCGGCTATTAAATTCATCTCCAAACGAAACACGGATGCAGCATGCAGTAACTTTAGACAAAATCCAGAACCTAAAGAGTTCAAAACTAGGATTCATTCGGCCGGCGGTTAGAATAGGACCTTCTAAAGTCAGCAAAAAACTTTAAACAGCTTTTAAAGTCCAGCTTGTATTCATATCAAAAATGGACACAATCTGGACATGACTAAAAACGGATGGGCTACGTCATTTAAAGCTACACTCGTGCGATCAGAAAAGGCACTGGGGAACTTGTCTGCACTTGTATGTGGCTTCTGTTTTTGGGATAGGATCAAGGAAAGTTCTGGAGAGAAAGCTCGGGCTCTGTGAATAATAGCTGTATGACGTAACATCAAAATCCACCACCTGTGTCACTTATATCGGTGGTCACAGTACACACTGCATCGTGGCTGAGCATTGGACTGCTGTCTGACAGATCATCTGCATCAGTTGCATTTCCAACTATGCAGGTTAAAATGGCCGAACACTTCAGATAAGCATACCGGAACACAAACGACTTCAACATTAACAGATATACGCCTGGGATGCGTATTCAGTATCAGTATCAGTTTATTGAGGGAAAGATAGGCGAATGCCTTTGA